CCTGCACAAGGACCTTCACAGCCCTGAAGTTGTCCTTGCAGGTGGACATCATAATCTTTGGTTTATGGTCAGCGCAGGAGACCTTGACCTTCGTGGTGATAAGCTGGGTGTCACAGAAGGGTTCAACCTGACGCATCCTTTCGCCAATTGGCAGAGCGCTTAGCAGCTGGTTAACCCTGACCTCCTTGACAAGAATGTTTTCCGCCTGGTTGCAGGTATATTTCGGTTGGGTGGGCGGTGGGCAACAGCACGTTTCTCTCTTTTGTGTCCTACAATGCCACAATTTACTCCTTATAACTACCGTTCAATGAAAGAGTCAGCAAAATTGATCACTGACCGCGATGGAGTGGCTGCTTGTTATCACACGAAGAAGAAGAAGACTTACCTCTTGGTTATGCACTTGCAGTTCTCCGGTACGTGGGTCGTGATTTCAATCAGTTTGTGACAAGTGGTGGGATTACAGGCGCTCGGTCTCTCCACTTCTCCCCTCGGCTGACCCACACAGGGATCGAGCCGCGCTTGTGTCACCTCCCGGAGACATTCCACGCCGCCATTCCTTCTGACCAATGAGAAGGCGGTATGCGTACGAAGGAGTGTTTTGCCTCCGGGCATACACTGTGTGGTGGTGAGATTCTGGGGGCAACCTACAGATACACACACAGAGAGAGGAATGCGGTAAGCTGGTATTCAGGGGGGGAAGCACCACGGAGGGGCTGCCACCTTTTACAATCTCACACTCCTAAACTTACTGCAAATCTCGGAGATTGAGCTAACCGGTGCTGAGACGCACTGGCAGCCCTTTGGCCGTGGTCCGAAGACGGTGATATTTCGCCGTCCAACTCCATCGGCTCTAACCAAACAGGCGCTCTGGACAACTCTCCGAAGATGGGTCTGCCCTGAACAGTCTGTGCGAAGAACAGCAAAACAGGGAATAATAAACCAGACTTTCTCATCCCGCTCTCACTCTCTCCTCCCTTAAAAAATCTAGGATCAAAAGAGTAGCCCCGTGGGACTGTAAATAGTAAGTTATAGCAGTCAAAACAAACTTACCCACAATCCTTCGAGTGAGTTTCACCTTCGGCTCGCACTTTCCGTCTACTAAAAACCACATCTTTGTTGCCTGTTCTATCTCCTCATCACGTAAACAGTTTGTAGCCACCGAATTGCCAAACATAGCTTGACAGTCTAATGAGAATACAAAATTGAGAGTGAAAAGACGTTTAGATTGTCCGGATTAGTTCGAGTTTTGGGTCTCATTCAAAGGTACATTCATGGACTCACCGCACACTTCCAATAACTTTTCCACTTTCTGTGTGCATTTGCATCCCTCTGGAACAAAACTTGTAACCGTCTTGATCCGCATTCCTCGATGTGGTGACGCTGGATTCCTGTCGCAGGCCCCAACGACTGTCTGGGCCTCAGGACATACTGAAGACAAACAAAAGCCCACCAGTTCGCGAATTAATTATTTGCTCCTGTGCGGGGGTTGTAGATGTTATGTAACTGCTGTAACTTACGAATTCTTTCCGCATTCGTCATCACCCTGGCGACGCATTTTCCCTCGATCAGTGTGTGGACAATCTGTTTTGTCGTTCGGATTCCCCCCGAACAGGAGACTGACTGATTGTTCAGATGGTCACAACCTGCAAGGAATTTTATTGGCGGATTTGAGGAAGCTGTACTGTCATTTAAGCAGATCAGATGATGAGGAACATTCGGAAACGGTGATGAAGCTTAATTCATGTATCGTAAGCTTGGAAGATCTATAAGAGATCAATTCTAAGTAGGATATGAGGGGGGAGGGTGAAATTCCTGACATATTTCAAATATCAAAAGGATGTTTGCATTTTTGGCAATTTGTCCCTTGTACGCGAGGATTTCTATCACCGTCCGAGGATAAGGGTTGCCCAAGACGTAAATCATACCCTGAGTCCCTGTTGAGCAAAAGTGCATCTAACACATTTAATGAGAACGGCACTTGTCCTGTATGTACTTTTATCGGCTTTCCCTTGTGGCTCGATAGAGGCAGCGAAGCAGTTTATCCAGTGTTAAC